AAAAGTATTAGAATTACAACCGCTAATTTTTTTTTAATTTTTATATCACCATATTTTTATTTAAAACATCCTTTTCCCTCGCTTCCTCCGCCATTACTAGCATTAAAAAAAATCCGGTCGGGTCGCAATGCATTATGGGATATGATGGGCCGGGAAGGATCATCAGACCAGTCCTTCGATTCGGGGCAAAGGAATGACGTCAGCCGCATCGGAGGAATCTTCGGTTTTGGACGTCCTTCGTCGCGGCGCTGTGACGTATGCGGCCGACAAATTCGACCTTCGGAGGACCCGGCCTGCCGTTTTGGACACAGCCTCAGTCACATGTCTTTGTTTCCTTCAAGCTGAAGACTGGTGGGACTGACAAACCTGTTAATGTTAATTTGTTAGTTAACTGTTAGCATCCTTGAAATTAGTATAACTTAATTTAGCAGAAGCTAATTAGTCCACTAATGTTTTTCAAAGTTAGTCAAAAAGAAAATTAAAAAAACAATCTGCTAAATGAATAATGAGTTCCACTATTAGCTGTTAGCTAGATAGCGGAATCATACCCACCAYTGCAAGTGATGTATTTATAACAAAAATAAAATAAAGTCGTTATTGATTTTCTCTTAGCTAACCAAAGTCCTTCCACTAACTAAACTATTACCTTGCTAAGACTTAACCGCTAAAATATGTAAAAAATTAACAGACGCTAACAGCTAATCGCTAATACGACTGTCACTCAGTCTGCATCACATGTTTTCGTCTCCTTCCAGCTAAAGACTGCTGGGACTGACACAAACCTGTTGATATCAATTATCTGTTAGCTGACTTAAGTTGGCAAAACTAATTTAGTGGAAGCTATTTGGTCTGGTAACAGTTTTCAAGGTTTGTACAAAAGCTAACCCCGCTGTTAGCTGAACCATGTCTACCACTGATCATATCGGGATGTCGATAARTCTTTGAAATATCGTGCCGCTTCTACTCAGTTGATTATTCTGCAGCTTTKTTGATAAATCAGGTTTATTTTAACAATATGAAAAATAAATGAGCTTCCTTTTTATATTCAGTACAGTAATTTGGCTTTTGTTTACCTTCAGATTTCTAACCTGATTTGACCACTGATTTCCCCGTTAAACAGTCCGAACTCCTGCAGACACTGTTCCTGAACTGTGACAACTTTCTGAAGATTAATTTGCGAGAACACAATTGTTTTCGCAGCCGGCCCTCGTTGGATTTSTGAACCGTGGCTGCTGGCACGTGTTTGAATTTCTGTCATGTCCGCGGGGCCGAGGGAGCAGACGAGAGCTGTCTGTGTCCGACGCCGAGACAGGGAGAGTAATGACCAGAGGAACYTAATGTTGTAGAAATGTTTGGAACCGATCCAAGCCGGTGGACACTTACATTTTCTTGGATGAATTAGCATAAGGTTAGACAGCAGTGCTTTGTCTTCACAGAGTGAAATGCGTTGTCTCGAAAGGGGAAGGGGGATCAAGGAGGTTTGGGGGGTAAAATTGTGCCTCACYGGCAGGTTTTCCTCAAGAACAAATTTACAATCACGAGTTACATTTCTACCATAAAACACTTCAGGTAAGAAGAACTTAACAACACCAAACTATAAAAGTGTAACCTTATGTGAGGTAAAGTTGACCAGCCTGGCTTGTGTGACTCTCACATGCTGAACATCACTCCCCCTCTCCTCCTCCTCCTCCTCCTCACTGTTGCTCGGCCTCGTGTGCAGCTCAGCTAGATCACTGATTCGCACCAGTAAAGCACTGTCGCGAGCTCCTCCTGCCCGCTTCATCGCCCGACCCTCGCATCGCGCCAACACCGTGACGGTGCCTAATGTTTATCTGGTGCGCACCGGAGCTCCGGCCAAACATGGCCGAGGTATGCAGGGTTCTCGGCCCCTTGCGGCTTTCCAATCTGGAGCCCCGCCGTGATAAGAGTTATTATCAGGTGTTCTGGATGCTTTCACGTCCAGCTGCCCTCAGATGAATCCGAGGTGACGTGGACGCTCGCGTGGTTAATGTCAAAAGATATGTTTGAGGCAGTTTCCAGACCACGTTTGGGGGAAAAAAAAAAAACTAAAATCAATTGTGGACCTTCATGAGTTGATACAGTCTGATATGAAGAGTTTGTTTAAAAAAGAAATGGCATGCATTTAGTTTGAGCTTATTTTAGCTGAGGAAACAATGATGTGAAGGGCCTTTGTGAAGGAGACTTTTAGACATTTTTGTGTTATCAGGAAGGTGACATATTCAGACAAAGTACACACAGTTAGACAACGTTGTGGGAATTTTTATGAGCCAAACATTTAGATGAATTATATCATTAAACAAAATGTATGCACTTAAATATTTTGCACACAGATAAACAATCTGGTGCTGGTTTTAATACCATAAACTCAATACACTGTAAAAAATGAAAAGTTGGATTTACTTAACCATGCTATGTTACCTGGTTCCACTTAACTGAGTTGAGTAAATTCAAAGTAAATATACCAGTTTTTTAGCCAAAGAACATGAGTATGTCGCTTTGAATTTACTCAACTCAGAGTGGAACCAGGTCACATAACATGGTTAAGTAAATCCAACATTTCATTTTTAGAGTGTAATATTAAAATAGTGCAGTATAGGATTTTAAATAAATGCCGCACCAGTTCTATTTTTTTTCTAATTCTCGTAACATCATCTGGCATCAGTGGGTGCTGAAGCACTCTCTGCACCCCTACTTTCCATGGCCTTGAAGTTAGAGGTAAAATAGCTCATAAAAATGCTATTAGTCTTTCGTTTAGAGGACATATTCTCCATTTAGTAAAAAAACAGAATGTTAAATAGACTTTTATTCTTGAAATGGAGCCTGTTTTATTATATTAGGCCTTCTTCAACCCTAATAAGGATACAGCATTGGT